TACTTTGTACAAAGTAGCATTAGCATCATTGCTTTCCACTACCCATTGAACTTGCACTGGGGACTAAGAAACAAGAGAGAAGGATGGATAGATAGATAGATAGATAGATAGATAGATAGATAGATAGATAGAGGAAGGGAGACAGAGAGAGGTGCTCTGAAAAGGGAATAACTTCTGTTATGTTAGTATTGAGACTTCCAGACATTTAACAATGTAATTGGCTTCAATCTATGTGTATATAATCTATACTTCTTTTTTTCTAAAATGTTTTTAAGAGCCCCTATTAAGAATCAATACATCCATACTCTGAAATTCACACATAAATACACACTAAAAGCCAATCAGAAAGTAATAATGAAAACACACCTGGTAAACAACTAACTTTTAATTCAAAGGATTCTAAGTAATAAAAGGCCTAGAATGAACATCCCAATTAGCCAGTGTAGTGACAAGCAGTCAACACCTTATTATTTAATCATTAAAGAGAATCGTGCCATAATTTCCCTTTGACATATTTCAAAAAAGAAATTAAGAGTGCACCACATGGCCCACAACAATAGTCAAAAGGAAAGGTAGATAATTCCAAGATCCCTTTGCTTGCAAGGCCTGTGGACTGAGAGGTGCCAGGACTAAGGCATTAAGTGGGACCCTATGAAGTATTTACAATTTAAATGAGATGTATCCATGTGTAAGCATTTAGAAACAAACTACTTGACAAGGGGATCATTTTCCTGTTTCCTGATGTTTGTGTCCAGTTCTCTTATTGGATGAAAATAAATTGACCACATTTCTAGTATTAGCAACTATCCGATGGCCTTATCTATCTTTTGTTTTCTAAAACAGCAGACCCAATTCATCAAGGACATTAGGCTGTCCCTTGCCCTTCCATCCCCATCCCTGACCATAAACACGTCTCCAAAAGACAAAGCTCAAATCTCCCTTAGATGCACCCTCATCCCCTTTGCAGGGAGGGAGTGTTTTCAGTCAAGTACAAGTTCAGTGTTAAGATTTTAGATTTTAAACTATGCTTCAGAAACAACATTCCGGACTTTTAAAATAAAACAATCGCCACCAGGGCTCCCTGGCCCACTTGAGAAGCAAAGCTCATTGGCCCAGGCTGCCCTGGATATCTGAGGCCGGGAGGGCTGGCTCTCCAGCCTGGGCCTTCACTGCCCCGGCTGCCGTCCCCTCCCCTGGGAGCTCACCAGCACTTGGCATTTAACCTGCCTGGGGAGCGTGGCTTTCTGGTTCCATCTCTGAGAGCCACATTACTTCTCCCCGGATGTCAGAGACAAATCTGGATTAACATGCAACAGGGCGCCGGGTGCAGCCTGGCAGCCCTAGCCCCAGAGCTGTTAAATGCAGATTCAGCCCAGGATCCCCCGGAGAGCTGCTGTTGAATAAAAATTGTAATCCAAAGGGACCTTTTCGTTGCCTCCTGCTGCTTGAGGGAGAACCCGGGCTGCAGCCCAGAGCACAGGCCCTGCTAGTCCCCGCTCCCTCCGTGCAGGCCGGGCCACCGGGAAGGCGGCCTTAGCGGCCCGGAGACCTTTCGCTCCTCTCTCCCCTCTCCCTCAACCCTGTCCTGGAGTGAAAAATGCTTCGATTCCAGGAGTGGCGAACAACGGACAGCCCTGGGACGGCTTCATTCGACGGCTCCTTCTCGGAGTGCGTCCTGGATCTGCCGGCTGGGCGGTCAGGCTCTTCCCCGCCTAACCTCTCTGCGCGCCCCCAATTCCACTCTGGACCCCCAAACACCCACCCTCGTCCCTTCGGATCTGCATCTTTCTCCACCACCAACCTGGCTCAGCCCTGGCCTCGACGCCTCGCACCCGGGTCCCCCTCTACACCCACTCCGGAGTCGCAGCCCTGCTCTCATCCCTCGCCGCCGAGTCCCCGAACCCCCCAGGACCCAGTCCTCCCGAGCCCCGAGCCCCGAGCGTCCCTGGAGAGGCCGCGGGACCTTGGCCCGCCGGGAGAAGAGCGCCCCGGCAGGGCTGCCCCCCCCAGGGTGACCTTCAAGGCCTCTGATGGGGGGAATCACGGCGAGGCCTGGAAACAAGGGATGGGGAGCACTGGCTTCCTACCGCCGCCTCGAGGTGGATTGTTTTTTAAAAAAAATGACAAAGAGCCCCCCACTGTCTAACAAGGCCAAGTGGAATTTC